CGTTGGAGAACACCATGTGGCCAGCAACTTCCGCTATTTCGGAAGTTAGTACTGCCTAAGAAAACCTGAAGTCGGCACCCAGCTGAGGCAGTTATTTACATATTTCCATGTGTTTCTAGTCTAATCCAGGTTGAGCACCAATTCGAGTCTCAGATGCTCTAAGACTGTCCGATTGTGCATTCAGATCTCCGGAAACAGAGCATTCGAGAAGTCAAAAGTTGTCTTTTACCGGTGTCAGAGCTACAGTCATTTGGGATGTAAGCAGAAACGATCAGCTGATAGCGATGAACTTTACGCTTGAGCCCTTCACGACGTCACCAGTGGGATCGCACATAGATGATTATCAGCGGTATCCGGTTAGCCAGGGATCCTTCAGCCCTGTGGGTTAGATCAATGTCGACACTTGCATCCTACCGAGGCGGACTCTGGATTCCATGAGATTCGCAAGCGTAAACGGGTGAAAAGTGATGGAGCAGGTAGCTCTTTGACACTATGTATGTTGTATCTCCAAACTCGAGAATTGCATCTACCCAGTGAGCTCCAAAAGAGTGATGCCGGTCGTGGTTTGACGAAGAGTCTTCAGCACCATGTAAATAGTGTTCCACCAAGTAATTATGTTGTTGTTACTCATACTCAGATCTCCGTTTTTTGTCATATTTACGTTCCCCCCTCATTCTCATTGCAGCTACCGCGTGATTGTTGTATACTGAATAAAGCCTTTTGGATATTCAAATCTCAGTTACGGTGACTGGTTTACCTCGGCTCATCTGTCTAAACTATAAAAGTACGATTCTTCATCGTTTTGATTCCACTCACAGAAAATCTTCATTCATGGGTTTTCTTTGGTAATATTCGCTAGGTGGTATGATGATCGCATGTCGATTTGGATGTTTGGCTAGAAATACATCAATTTCGTGTACGCGAATTGCCTTCAAACGGTCTTTGTGCATTACCGCCTGGTGTTGTGAAAGTTCTGAATCAAAGCGTTCGGTACGTCACTCATTTCTTCATCGTGGCTAGAATGGCTGCAGCTACGGTTGCTGACAGTACCGAATGCAATTTCGACATGTCGTATTGCTACCACTCCCGTACTAGCACACCTTATTACGTCCCATCAACTATCATACGCGGTAGGACTGGTCGTTTTAGCTGGACTGTCGGATGCCGTATGGCTTGATGTGCTTTTTAATCCTTGTCTGGTGTAGCTAGATGGATATATTGCCAGAACTTGGCCCAGTCAACAATCACTGTTTGGAAGTTATCTGGACCCAGTGGCCGACAAGGTCATGATGACCACATTGGTGTTATCCATGACGGCGAGCCAATTATTTCCAGGTATTCCAATTGTGTGATCAAATCTCGTCACTGGGCAGTCACTCTGACACTATTAATTATTGCTCGCGACGTTGGGATAGTTTGTGCTGCTGGATATTTGAGCTTCCTATCACTCCCGGAGCCAGTAAGTTTGTTATTTCATTGGGCTAGTGCTAATACAGTCCAACCCAGGTTAAATTCTCTAACTTGATGCAACTCCGGCAGATTCCAGTGGAAATGAAGGCTTCCAAACTTAGTAAGGTAGCCAGTTTATATTTTACCTTATGCCGACTTCTTCCTACGTGCACGCGCTCATTATCAGTCATGCAGTATTTTTGTTTCAAGGATTTCACTTCAGCTCACTTCAGTCTTCAGCCGTGAACTGCTTGCGTGTGGTCCAGCTGAAGCACTGTTTCGGTACCTAGCTGTCATGCTACTCGAGGGAGGCACGAGGGCAGAGATACC